CCAAAGGTGCTTTTTCCATAAAGGCAACTGGATTTTCTTAGGTTTTTTTTTTTCTTGAAAACGTTTTCGCTTCTTGGATGAGAAGCGAAACATATTCAAGGAAAAAAAAAAACAACCCAAGAAAATCCAGTTGCCTTTTGGAAAAAGCACCTTTGGGTAAAGATTTGGCAGCTTCTGGTTTACCTCCTGCCATAATGTTCATAAAAGTAAAGGCAAAGCTTCCCCTGGCACAAATGTGCTAGTTGTTCCCGACTCTAGGGGGTAGTGCTCATCTCCGTTTCAAAGCCGAAGAGCCAGCGCTGTCCGAAGACGTCTCCGTGGTCATGTGGCCGGCATGACTAAACGCCAAAGGCGCACGGAACGCTGTTACTTTCCCACCAAAGGTGGTCCCTATTTTTCTACTTGCATTTTCTACGTGCTTTCGAACGGCTAGGTTGGCAGAAGCTGGGACAAGTAACAGGAGCTCACCCCATTATGCGGCACTAGGGATTTGAACCGCTGAACTGCCGACCTTTTGATTGACAAGCTCAGCGTCTTAGCTACTGAGCCACCGCATCCCTTTACCCACATATGTACGGCCCCAAACCAAAGATTTTTATTCGCTTAACTTTGAAGCTGACATACCACGCCTGACAGCAGCTGCAGCTTGATGACTGCCAGGAATATAAATCCTTCCATCGCCCACTATTCAGTCAGAGCTGAGGAAGCTTCTTGGATGAGAAGTGAAACATCTTCAAGGGAAAAACAAAGTCCAGTTGCCTTTTGAAAAAGCGCTTTTGGGACAACCTGGACGACTGAGAATCTCCATAGACAATCAAGTCTTTCACACCTCATCCAGGTGCTTGCTCAACACCCAGTCCCAGGTGGCATCTGCGTGGCTATATCAGCAGCTTCTTTTGCTGGACGTATATTAGAGCCATGTCCCAAAGATGCTTTTTCAGGAGGCAACTGGGCTTTCTGGTTTTTCTTTTGAAGACGATTCACTTCTCATCCAAGAAGCTTCTTCAGCTCTGACTGGAGGACGGTGGGGAATGGAAGGATTTATACTCCTTGCAGACAGCTGGTCATTTGCGTTCTTTGAGAGAGTCGCTGAGGCCACTTGGAGGTTTGTTTGTGTCCTCAGGGTTACCTGAGTGGTGCAAATGGGTGTGGAGCCTTCTTGGCTGCAGGATGTTTTCTGCCCTGTGTCCCTTCACTGTTGAAGACAGGTGCAGGCTGTTGGGGATGCGTCTGTGCTGTCTGCATGACCTGGATGACTGAGAATCTCCATAGACACTACAGCCATGTGATAAGACGGGCAGCCAATAAATTTGATCAACAAACAAATCAATGTTTGTATGTGGTAAGAGCCAAGGTGGTGCAGTGGTTAGAGTGCAGTACTGCAGGCTACTTCAGCTGACTGCTAGCTGCAGTTGGGCAGTTTGAATCTCATCAGGCTCAAGGTTGACTCAGCCTTCCATCCTTCTGAGGTGGGTAAAATGAGGACCCAGATTGTTGGGGGCAAGAGGCTGACTCTGTAAACAGCTTAGAGAGGGCTGTAAAAGCACTGTGAAGTAGTATATAAGTCTAAGTGCTATTGCTAATGTATGTGAGCCCAGGAAAATGCACATTTGAGTTGTGGAAGTGCCAACGCCCACTGTAATGCAACCTCGTTCCACCCTGTGGGCGTCTCCTTTATTCAAATGTACATACATTTGGGATTATGTGGCACCAGGAGAGACCAGGAACAAACCGAGAGGTACAGCGTGCACTTTTTTGATTTCAAACCCAAAGCACTGCATGTCCTTAAGTTAATGCTTCAAACTGGCTTTAGAGTCCTTGTATCCTCCACTCTCCCCCATGAGAGTTAGCTCCGTCAATCTCATTGGGGGGGGGGGGGGGGGGGGGGGGGGAAGGCAAGAGACAGATAGGAGAGAAATCAGATGAAAGTGCCCTTGAAGGGGAAAAGAAGCAGATGGATGGACAAGAGGCCTTTGTAGTGAGTGATATTGAGTAAGGTAAAGGTAAAGGTTCCCCCACAAACGCGTGCTAGTCTTTTCCGGCTCTAGGGGGCAGTGCTCATCTCTGTTTCAAAGCTGAAGAGCCAGCGCTGTCCAAAGACGTCTCTGTGGTCATGTGGCCGGCATGACTAAACATTGAAGGCGCACGGAACGCTGTTACCTTCCCACCAAAGTGGTCCCTATTTTTCTACTTGCATTTTTTATGTGCTTTCAAACTGCTAGGTTGGCAGAAGCTGGGACCAGTAACGGGAGCTCACCCTATTACGTGGCACTAGGGATTCGAACCGCTGAACTGCCGACCATCTGATCGACAAGCTCAGCATCTTAGCCACTGAGCCACTGTGTCCCTGTTGATATTGAATAGATCTATGCAAAGAAGGATGGACTATCCCCTCTTCGTGGTGCTTCTTTCCTCCTTCACCCTCAGGCTCAAGAGGAGGAAATCTATTCCACTGCTTCCTATTGGGCAGATTCCACCAAAGGCCACGGCACAGAGCAGTGGTGGCAAGGAAAGAGATATTGTAGGTTGTCACAAACTCATATAATCTGGCATCAGGAGTCTCACAGCAGCCAGCTGGAGGCCTCTGTGGAGGGCATGAGAGCACCAGCCCCAGCAACCAGTCATTTGCTGGTCAGCCATCTCTTCTCTCTTTAGATTCTGACGTTACAGAAACAGGTGCAGGGAGAGCTTTCCTTTGTGGATTCACCCAATCCCTCCTTAAAGACCGATGCAAAAATGAGAAAGGGGAATTTTTTTTTTTCAGAGAAGTGGTCACTACAATATTGTTGAGGCTGTTTTTTTAAAAAAAAATAATCCTCTAGATGTCCTAATCAGAGATAATATGTACTTAATTGTGCTTTGTTGTGCTTTTTAGTACTAACAGTGTACTTCGTTCCGTTCCACCTTGTCTCCTTTTCAAAGCCTGCTCTTCAACAAGACCGTAGCATTGATTTCAAGATCAAGATAATGCCGACTTTGTTGTTTAACATTAGAGACCCTGCTTTCGCGCATAGCCATGGGCTGTCGATGCAATCGCTTCAAATTCCGGACAAGCAAACCTGAAGCTGGTGAATGCAGATTTTCTGCACTCTGCCTGGAGCGTTTGTTGATACAGAATGATAAAACGAATATACACATCCGAGTTTTTCAAGCTGTGTTTCACTAAGGGCAAACAACAACAACAACAACAACAAACCCCCAAAGAAAACCCACTCAAATCCAGCTAATTTTCTATCACTAGTATTTTATCTTTTGATCAGGGAGATTTTTGTTTTTTTAACTAACAGGTTCTGGGGCTTTTACAAGTTTGAAAACCCCTCACATAAATAATCTCTTCAGTCCTTGCAACTCCACCAGAAGAGTAGTTAAGTGAGAGTTAAATATGAATATGGAGTTATCTGCTCTTTGCTATATACATTGGTCAGTAACAGTAACAGAGTTGGAAGGGACCTGTTTTGCCCCAGCTACAGACCCCAAAGAACACAGCACACACAAAGTCTGTACAAACCTTAGTTTACTAAATTAAATAAGTTTTTTTTTTCCAAACAAAGGCTGTTAATTAACTTTCTTAACAGCCTACAAAAATCCAAAGAATAAATAATCTTAATCTTACTATGATTGGCAGAAAGCCCAGAAGCAATTTGCAAAGAACGAAGATCAAGGCACGAAGGAGAGTGAACGAAGTTGTTCCCTGCAAATTGCTTCAGTCGGCGTTCCTCCTTAAATAGGCTAAGGGAGTGGCCAATTAGCCCCAAGCCTTACTCTCGAGGAGACCTCCTCCTGAGGAGCCACTTCTGCCTTTTGGCAGCTCTGCGCGCCTCTGCATCGAGAAGAGGCTCCTCCTCTTCGTCCTCTTCACTTATGGGAGCTTCTGGAGGTTCTGAAGGCCCTGGCTGAATCCCCGCCTCTGGCACCACATCTTCTCCAGCCTCATTGTCCGACTCGAGCGCCAGCTGCACAGGCTGCTGGCGCAGCACCACACCAGCCTCCTCGCCATCCGAATCAGCCACCAGCCGCACAGACCATGTACGGGCCACAACAGGACCTTGGAGGTCATCTAGTCCAACCCCCTGCTCACGCAGAAGACCTATCTCACCTCCCATCTTTTCTCTCTGTCACAAACAGAGAGAGAGAGTGTGCTGAGAAACAGGGCTGGAAAACGATGCTTTCCAGTTGCTTGGAATGAAGAATGGAAGAAACCTAATTTCTTCTAGATCTCTTCCTTCCTATTATGAGAAGATCCAAAAGATCCTGTTTCAGCATCCCTTGGAAAACATGGATGAAGGAGATGGTTGCCCCCCCCCCTTTTCCTCCTTACCGTCTCATATTCGGGGAATATTGACCTTGAACATGGAGACTCTATTGGGGAAAATAACTTTTGATAACACAGTGCAAGAACCACTTTGCTGCATCCGATCTAGTCCAGCACCAGGATACCCTCCGTGATGGGTCAAATTAATTCTAGGGAATTCCCCAATAAACACAGCAACGAGACAATTATTTGCTCCTTGCGGAAACCCCGTTTGCTGAGAGTGAAAGCGCCACTTATTTATCACGGCTCTGGATTAAATGGTTTCCTCCCCTGTGCCACCCGATTTCCATTTACAGCTCATCCTAAAACACACACCTGTGGTCAAGTGCATGTCTGCCAAATTCAATTCCGAACATTTACGATCCTTCCCAGCGCAGTGAGCATGGGGTTCATTTCAAATCCCAAGAAACGCAGGTGTGGCGGTGGTGAAGTTTCATCTTATTACTGCTTTAGTGCCCGTCAAGAGGATATAACTCATACCGATGCTCACAGCCCTTTTCTCATCCCCAAAGGAAGAACTACACCAGAACATTTAGCTAGGCCTGTTTCAGATCTGCATCACACCACCAGGGACTAGCCATCTGCTCAGGCTGTTCCCACTTTGGCTGGAAGAATAAATGTCTCACACACCCCGCATATGTCTGGCCCAATTCATCTCTCGCCAATTCCTTCTGCTTCGTTTCCTTACCTTCTGATGCAGCCCCAGACACAGCGTCAGCCCCTCACTGGCAGAGTTTTCCATGCTCTCTGTGCTGTGAAGATGCCGGCTGAATTTGGGCAGTGGGATGCGAGGCTTGCTGTCCGGATTCAGCATGTTGGCAGGTGCCAGGATGATGAAAGCATTTGTGATCGGACCTACCGGAGCAGAAGGAATGGGTTACATGTAGGGTGCATACGCAGCTAGTAAGAACAACAGCTTTTGTGGAACATAAAACCTTGTGCGATAATAAATGGTTAGCCTGAGACACCCCAAGAGGCTGTTGTTTCTGCTGCAGAAGATACACATGGCTTCCCTTTAGGAAAGAACTGATTAACACAATTCAATATCCTTCCATTGCGGTGCTTAAATTCTTGCACTCCAAACAAACCACAGCATGCAACTCTTAAGCATCTCTTACCAAACAAGCCGGAGAATTAATTTGCTTGGCTAATCTAGTGATTTTTGCCTGATCTCCAAAAAAAGAAAAAAAGAAAAGAAAAAGACAGATGTAGCTGCTATTAAGCAATTAAGGCTTTTAAAAGAGGTTGAAAGATCTCTGGCTGGCCTAAAGCCAAATTTATTTGGGCTCAAACCTAAATACCGTTTGGGAAATTTACAGGAAACCCCAGAAATTTCAGGTGGATCAGCAAATTGGGGGGAAAAAAACACCAAATAAACAACTAAAAAGAAGTCAGTGGCAAACCATTTTGTACAGCTGCCAAGAAAATGACATGCCTGTGTCCATATAATCAAGAGGAATCAAGCTTGATTCTGAGATTTTTACCTTCCTTTCGGCTCAAAAAAGAATCCTTCCCAAGGATCTTCCCCAACTCTTTTAATGAGCCTTGGTAGTACAGTGGTCTAAGGCACCCTGTTATTAAGCTGGTTATTAAGACCAGTTGCCTGCAATTACTGCAGGTTCGAATCTCGCCAAGGCTCAAGGTTGACTCAGCCGTCCATCCTTTCAAAGGTAGGTGAAATGAGGACCCAGATTGTGGGGGCAATAAGCTGACTTTGTATAAATATACAAAAGTATGAAGGCTATTGCTTAACGCATTGTAAGCCGCCCTGAGTCTCTGGAGAAGGGCGGCATATAAATCAAATTTTTTTAAAAAATGTAGGCCTTCCTGCATGCAGAGTAAGTATTTCAGTGTTTCACCGTCTTGGGGTTAAATTCTGCTGCAGGCATCCATAGACTATTTGTGTTTAGAGCTCACAAGACGCAGTTCAATATTCAGTCATGGATTTCAAGGCACCAAGAGTGAAGCCGTTAGTAGACAGCTTGACTTGTCAGGCAGCAAATGACAAAGCTCTGAAAGGCCCAGAAAACAGAGCCTTGTGGGTATTATGTTGGAAATAGGACCTCGAGAAACACACAGGTATGCTTATTCGCCTAAAACTCTTCTTACCTGCTCAGTCTTTTGGAAGGGAAGCTTTATGGATGTCTGAAAATGCCCTGTACACTTGTCCTGGTATTTAGTACTGTGCTTTTTTTTTTACTGTTGCTATTGCTACCTTTAAAAAAAACAATTGTTGTGCGACATTGCTCGTACGCATTATTGTACCTTGTTGTGTTCAACAGTGTGCTGTTTGTTTTCAATTTAGCTAACAAGTGAATTCACCTGTTATGTTTTATCGCTAAGGACCCCAACAGGCCACACATAGGCATTTAAACACCAAGCTCTTATTTTTAAAGGCTGCATGATGGATTGAAGGAGGAAAGAGGAAGAGGGCTGTTTAACCCATGTTTTTGGGACAGTTACACAACAGGCCAAGAGAATTTACCCAAGTATGTACTGTGGATTAAAGCTCTCACTATACCCCATATTGACTTGAGGAGGATGGGAGCTGTAGTCCAGCGTACCTGGAAGAGTCCAAACCGAGGTTGACTATCATTTTGTAGGGGGTAGAGTCATCAAAGAGGCTTCCCCCCACTCCCCACCCCCAATACATTGGAATGATTTATTTTTCTGTTTATTGAAATTATCTACCTTCTCTCTAAGATAAGAGTTCTCCAATCTTGGCAACCTTAAGACACGTGCTGGTTGGGGAATTCTGGGAGTTGGAAGTCCACACATCTTAAGGTTGCCAAGGTTGGGAAATCCTGCTCTAAGAGACCAAAAGAAATCTTCCCTATTTTTATTTCCATAGCAACCTTGCAAGAGATCCAAGAAAACTCCATGGTCAGATGTAAGGATCTGTGCTCTTAGTGCTCTCTGGTTGTTTTCTTGCAGACGTTTCATTACCCAAGTAGGTAATGTCTTCTGTGCTAGACAAGAGTTGAGTTTAATCTGTTTATATACAGTGGCTTGCCCTGTCAGTATCCTAGACCAAGATAAGTCAGTATCCTAGACCAAGTGAAGCTAGAGTATTCTTGGAAGGTTGGTATTCAGACAAATTAACCATCAATAGGCACATACAGATAAACAACATTTACACGCCATTCAATAGAGAAATCAAAAAGCTAAAAAGGAAACCAAAAGACCTAAACACCTCCCAGCCAGCAATCAACACCAGGGATTAACACCCTGATTAATACCAGACCAACAATCAAACAGTGAACACTAGCCAATCAAGGAACTTCCAAGTAGAAAACAACACTTTGGCCGACACTGACAGTGGGCAATTCACTGTATATAAACAGAGAACAAATCCCACTCCTTTCTAGCACTGATGATGTTATCTAGTTGGGTAGCAAGACATCTGCAAGAAAACAACTAAGCTCAGAGAGCACCAAAGACTCCACTGTTGAATCCCGAGCTACAAATATTCTCTTCTGTTGGTATAAAATGATTTGAATCTAACTCTCTCCTGTTCAAGTCGTGCTCCCTCCTGTTTTATACGGGAGCCAAAAATACTTCTATGTCAAGTTTTTCATCTGTCAGCCTGCCTCTCCTTTTAATCAGGTGTTGGAACAATCGCTCAGTTCAGACTGAGCTGTCAGGAAGTGGCACTCTTTCAAAATTGTTGCAAATTGAATGCATTTTCTCCTTTACAGGGGAAGAGCAAGATTAAAAGACAATCCTGCTGCTAACAAGATGACTAGGTGGCACACTTATCCCGACCATAATTTGCACCTGCCCAATTCTGCTATTGAAGTTTGAAGCCGGAGCACCCACTGACAAAGCAGAATAGCCAATTATATAAGAAGTAATGGGTTCTACAAGCTCTGCCTAGATTGATGTCCCAAATTGCACTGGGGTTGAACTATCCAAAGCCAGGACTCCCTCCTGCCTATATGAGTATTATTCTCTTCCCAATTTACTGTTCAGTTAGGTGTCCAAAGCTAACCAGGAGGAAAGATCCCCCTACGAGATCTCCCTGGAGCACCTGGATGTAATACTGAATTATGGCCTTGCTAGCATCCCCTGAGCAAGGCATCCATCATTGTGACTTTTGTAGCTGCCCACGGTAATGATGCCTCTTCCCCCTTCACCGGAGTTAATGAATGCTTTAATTACAGCATTTACCCACACAGCTGTTGGCTGCTGTTAGCATTTCCCTTGGCCTTAATTCACACTTACTCTCACACACAAGAACACTCAAGGCAACGGGTGATAAGGAAGATCCAGGAATGGCCTGGTGGGCGAACAGAATGGGGTTAGTACTGGAAGAATTTAGCCCTGAGAAGATCATAGTCCTCTGTCAAGTAAACAGTTTCTTCACTTCTGCCTGCCACACTTCCCTTCCTGCCAGCCACTGGGACAAAAACCAGAATGACCCCCAATTCTAAAGAAAATGTCTGAGAATGCTAGTTTAAGTGCTTATTCATAGTGGTTGAAAACTGCCAATCTCTCGCCTCTCCTCGTCTTTTCTCAAGACCAAAACTACTCTGTTCCTTTAATCATTGCTCATAGGATTTAATTTCCTGCTTGCCTCCCTGTTCTAGTTTCTTGAATCTTGCATAAAATGTGGGGCCTCGAATTCTGAGCAGTCAAAGTGGGGTCTGGCCAACTCCAAAGAAAGTGGAATGATGATTTCTCATGATTTGGGGATTAAATTTATGCTGATGTATGATGTACCCTAAAATTGCATTTGAACTTCTTGATGTTCTAAGTACACCTATTGCATTGATATTTATGAGCTGATAATCTGAGACAAACCTACCTTCTCTTCCAAATCCTAAAATATTATTTTTTATCAACGCTTATTTTTTGTGATATGTTTACATAAAGTAATGCTCCCACCCAATCTTATCAATGACTTTGATGTTAAAGTTTAGTAGGCACTGATAAAGTTTACAGATGGCAAAAAAATGCAAAGCGTGGCCAATACTTTAGATAAGAGAGAGGGGATGTTAAAACATCTAGAAAGTAGTGGGGCTAAAATGAAGAGAATTTAACAAGGAGAAATGCATCTACGTCTGAAAGGGAAAAGGACGAGGCACCTACGATCTACAAAGACCTAACTAAGCATGGTAGTAAAATATGTGAAAAATTTGGGGTGCTTTCGTTAACCACAAATTAAACATGAGCTACCAGTGGAATCGCTAAAAAGGCAAAGCCAATCTTGCCTTTAACAGGAACCTGTTAATAGGAATCCAGAGACCAAATCATGGAAAATAAATTGTTCCCTTCTGCCCTGATTTGGTTAGATGTTTTGGAGAATTGTACTCAATTCTGGCCAACACGGTTCAACAAGGGACGCAAGTTCAGATGAGGGCTACCACGCCGGAGAAGGATCTAGAAACCAAGCGCTTTGAGGGACAATTAAAGGAACTGGGAAAGTTTGGCCTACAGAAAAGATGACTAAGAGGAAATACGATGGCAGTCTTCATATATCTGAAGGGCTCACACTGAAGGAAGAGTGGACGTATTCCTTATTGCCCCAGCAGGCAGGATCAGAACTAATAGATTATAACCACAAGGAAGAGAATTCAAGATGGACATCAGGACCTGGCTTTGAGCTGTCAAGCCAGTGAAACACGCTGCCCAGATGCCATGGCAATTTTTTCTTCACTAGAAGTCTTCAAATGGAAGCTGTCTGTCTGTCAGAGATGCTGTGCTGGACTTCGCACTGAGCAGGAAGGTGGACTAGATCAGGGCTCTCCAACCTTGGCAATTTTAAGACTTGGGGACTTCAACTCCCAGAATTCCTCAGCCAGCAATTCTGGGAGTTGAAGTCCACAAGTCTTAAAGTTGCCAAGGTTGGAGAC